GTGTTTAGGATGTGGGCTCTGAAGTGGAAAAAAGGGATTGCTAGTAATTTTTTAAGCCTCTTTGGCTGCACCAAGGCAGACTGTTGGTATTATATCAATTCTTTAGATAAAATAAATATCAGTCTTTGTATGAGGAGGATGGAAATTTAACTTTTCCAGTATACAGCTGAATAGTAAATCTGACTGTGGGTTGCTATAAACCTGGAAATAAAAATCACCCCATCCCTCTAAAATAGGGAGGAAGGAGATGTTGGAGTGGAAAAAGGATCCCAAAGGCCAGCAATAAAACAGAAGATTGTGCCTTAAAACCAGTGGGATTTCTTTTTAGGCAGGAAACTAGAAACGTCACCTCCACAACTTGTCCCCTGTGTGATCACTCTCTCCCTGGCTCCTGTGTTCAGCGACTTTGCAACCACAGTCCCTGTGAGACAAAAACTGTTGTGAGCGAGAGTGGGGACCACCTGGGACAAAACTTGTGGAACAGGGGTTGACCAGTCATTAAGCAAGCATTGCAGAGGCGAGGGGAAGGAAAGCTGTAATGATTTACACCAGGACAGGCTTAGTCCCTGGCTCTTTAAGCCGAACTGCTGGAGCGCAGGGGGTTGCTCACCTGCTCCCAGTTGGTGGCTGTTTGGGAGGCAGGGGAATTTGCAGAGTTCTCTATGGACAAGTTGATCTCTCTTTAAAAGAAAAGCAAGCCAAGGTGGTTTTTTTTGTTGGTTTTTTTTTTTCTTTCTTACTTAATACACTTGCTCCCCCTTGGGCTCTTAGATCTATATTTAAACTTCTTAATACATGGCTTGATTTTTCAAAGGTGCTCAGCATGTAGTAACCCTCCCTCTAACTGGCTTCTTTCTTGCTATGAACTATCTTTAAAGAAGGGTTTTCAAGTGTTCTCTTTGCTTTTAACAAGAAACACTTATTAATCTAATAAAAAAAGAATATAACGTCTGCCTTGTCTCATGTCAGCCCTCCCATTGCATTAGCCTTGCAGCCCCAGCCACAGTTGAGCATGGTGTGCAAATTGCACTGATAACATGGCCTCACCTCCTCCCATCCATTACAAAATTTAGCAAGATATCAACAGCATTCAAAACTTGGCGGAAATGACTGCTTTAGTGCTTTCCATGGTATTTGGTGGGGGTTCATGCAGAGGAAAATGTGTTTATCTGCAATTATAATCAGTTGCTTCTTCCTCCATCAGCATCCCAGGTCAGACATGGTGGAAAGGTTTGGAGCTCCTGACCATGGCACTGCCCTATGTCACATGCACATGTTTGAGGAACAGGAGTCTTCTAAAGAAAGGACCCTTCCCTTAAGAAGAAAGAAATAAGTGCTCTGTGTTCATTTGTAGGGAGAGCTTTTAGTAAGTGCTTAGCAGCCTATGTGCCAAAACTGATAATGCTGGCTCCCTAGTGAACCTGCCCTCTTAACTAGTCTGCTTGCATACTGACTTCTGTGGACTTCTTTCATCCTTTTCAAAGCTAGGTCTATGTAAGATTAAGAAAAAAACAGTCTTTCTTTTTTTTTTTTTTTCCCCCCCACTTACCAATTCCCTCACACACATTATGTAGTATTTTTCACTACAGGAAGACTGGTAGGAAGAATACTTGCAACGAAATCACGTTATTACCTGCCCTAGCTCTGTGTGGCTGTCACGAACTCCTTTTTATGCCTCATAGAAATGTTCCACCAAAGGGAAAACTTAGTTTGATTAGCATGCTGCAACAATTTTATCATTAAATATTGACAGAGATTATTCACTCCCTTATATTGCCACTAAACAGCTTACATCTAAATGCAAAGGACCATCTAACTGAGTACAGTTGTACCTTTTGGGGTTGACAGGTCTATTTGAAAGAAAAAGCACTGGAACTCATTCCCATTTTCTGTAAGAATATCTGAAGAGTTGCAGGTTAACAGAGACCAGTTAACTCCAGAGAACATGCAGATCTGAGCAGAGAGGCTGCCTTTCTTGGCTCTCCTGGGGCTGCAACACACCAGCTGGAAAAAGTAATCCAAATTATATTAGCACTTCAGTATGGCACAAAAACCCTCCTCAGTTACACCTGATTAGTCACTGTTCCACTTAAACACTTGCTTTTCTCCTCACGGTTGGCTTGTACAGAGCTTGGCGTGGGGGTTAGAAACAGCGTTGCACTCACCTGGAAATTGGCAGGTGAGAGTCAGTCCTGGGGATAAACTAATAGCAGCTAAACACAAGCAAGGGCTGTGTTTGATCACTGACAAGTTGATCTGGGATTTCTGCAGCTTGTCCTGGGCATCATCCTTTACTAAATGTCTATGTGCTGGCAATTACACAATAGTTTAGGAAGGGATTCGTTGAAGGGTAAGCTAGACAGTAGATCCTACTGGAAGACCTCTTGAGTCGGACTCGCATTGTAAATTTGCAATGAGGCTTTGGGAAAACCTGCTCTTGGTGCATTGCTTTTGGGTGCGCTCGTGAGCACATGCACTAGTTTTTCTTCCTTTTATAGGAATGCCCACAAATTTCACTGCTTTTGCTCAGTAGGTGATAATGATACACAACTGTTGTGCATCCTGTGAGTAGTCTCGTCCCCTGAACTGGTGCAAAGTGGTTGCTTTCTCCTCAAATTCATTATTTAATCCAGTGCCAATGGAGTTTATCAACTGCCATTTCCTTCTTGGTATTCCAAGGTGCAGTTTTCTTCTGAGAGGAGGCACAAATCACACTGGATGGGATTAATCTCACTAGCTCTGCTTGTCCAGAAGGAGCTTAGCATTAGAATTGTCTCCCCTAAGGCAGCTGTCCAAGCTCCCTGGTTAGTCAGTTGAGATTTAAGCACTGCTAAAACGTATCTCATTTCACCTTTCCTACCCACCTACATTATCACGTGAGGCATTTCGAGGCATCTGTCTCTCTCCACTGACTGGACAAGGAGCCTGGACAAGTTATTTGGACCGGACACCTAAGTTTTAGATCACTGGAAGTTAGATGTGATGAGTTTCAGGAGACTGCTTGTTGCTCAGAGGTGTGCAGTGTGAAGTCTGTATCAGAAAAAAACTTCTGTAAATGAAATTTATAGGTCAGGGAAATATTTTGTCCATAAAAGACAAAAATGTCCGTCAAAGACAAAATGGATATGATTAATTCTAGGGAGAAACATGAAAATGTGGGCCCAGAAGAAACTAAAAAAGCAAAACCATAAAGTTGGCTGCCACTTTTCAAGTATTTGAATGTGTGGCAATATACATAGTTCTAGCTTAAATTTAGGTGAAGACATATTTGCCATTTTTCTCTCAGCTGCCCGTTCCCACCATCCCGCTGAACATATGGGGTGCTTGGATCACATTTTGAACATACTTATGCTTCAATCCTGGAGCAAGCTTCAGGCTGAATGGGGATGATGGATTTTGTTGGGCTTCCCTGTGAGATAAGTGGTGGTGCGTAGCTGAGTGGCTGCTCTCCTGGCGCCTAACTAAGAGCACTGGTGTGCTGCTGATCGGTGTTGCTGAGAGAGGTACATCCTGCCTGGGCTCCCTTCTTGCTGCCCACCCCAATGATCCGCCTCCGTTCCTGCATGGGGAGCATGCTGGAGGTCAGAGCTCAAGGGTTTGGCAATTTCTTAAGGACTGAAAGATGCCCAGAGAGGAGCCTGCCAGTTGTGTGCGTTCCTCCTTGTGCTCCTGGTGTAACCCCTGGTTTGGGAAACACAAAGGGGATGTTCCCAACACACTGCAGGGATTTCATCCACCCCTCACGCATGGCTGGGGCCCAAGTGGTATGTCAGACCCCAAAATCTGTCTCACTTTCTGTGTCAGGACACCCTTGATTTCTTTAGTCACTGGCACAAGGAGAGGATGATTCAGCCCTTCAAGTCTGAAGTGCCTTTTGGAGGTACCCTCTCTTCTCTCTCCCTCGCTCTCGGCTGACTGCAAAAGGTGCTGAGATGCTCAAGACTCCTGATGTAGGTGCTTCTGTTGTCCAGAAGGCCCTTAGGATGCAGCTGGTTGCAGTGGAAGCGGGCTCGTGGCCTCGTACTGAGCCTTGCTGTGGAGCCGGGCAGCCTCGCTGCCCTTTGGCCGCCTGGCCGCCTCAGCGCTCTGGCAGAGCTTGCTGCTCCCACAGTGGGCTGTCCATGTCCCTCTTGCCTGGTCCATCCAGGATGGCGGACGACCCCTTAAAGGCAGCTCTAAGTGAAACAGAAATGCAAACCAGCCATAACCAGAAATGCATGTTAAGCAGGATCCGTGTCGTGACACCGGGAGATAAATGAATCTCCCACAAGACTCCTTAATCAAGACAAGGACAGTCTCAAGAGCAGCTTTGGGACTGCTGTTACGGTCAGTGACCGAAGTTATTTTTCCTTCTTTCTTTTGGCAAAGCATTTGTTTGTTAAAAGTTTCTGTTTTGTCAAACCCATGTTCGTGGTCTGCATCATGCGTTAGTCCCGCTTCCCTGCCGGGGTTCCTGTGCCAGGGGTGTCAGGCCCCTCTCAAGTGGTGGAGACGCTTCATAGCATGTCACAAAAAAAGTTTCCCTTTCTTCAACCTGAATCAACCCCTTTTTCCTCACTTGGAAGAAAGCTGGTTTATTTATTTGGCAAAGACTTTGTGTCTCCATTTCAAGGAGGGGCAGAAACAGAGGTGAATTAACAAAAAGCCAGGGGCGGGTTTCAAGGACCCACAGAGCAGACCTAATTCACAAGCATCCTTGAGACGCCCACCGGGGAGTCCCATTTAGCCTGCTTGATCCCGTAGAGGACCTGCCAGTACCCCTGGGCACGGGCACCCCGTGTCTCACAGCCTGCTGCCTGGCATCATCCCTCTGGGAGACCTGGCACCGATTCCACCCAGACTGTCGTTTCCAGGTCAGTCTCCGCATTTCTGCTGACCATGTTGCCTCCATCATGAGATCATGTCTTTCCAGAGAAATCCCGCTAATGCCTTCATTCTGCAAGACCGGTATATATAGGGGGAGCTTCCCTGGGGCAGCACTGCGCAGTCCAGCCAAGGCATCGCTGTCTCCCCAGCGGCCGCACTGCCCCTACCGCTCTCCCCTCGCCGCCACAGGTCACAGCAGCAGCAGCAAGCATGGACATTACCATCCAGCACCCCTGGTTCAAGCGTGCCCTGGGACCCCTCATTCCAAGCCGTTTGTTCGACCAGTTTTTCGGAGAGGGTCTCCTCGAGTATGATCTCCTGCCTTTGTTCTCTTCCACTATCAGCCCCTACTACAGGCAGTCCCTCTTCCGCAGCGTGCTGGAGTCGGGCATTTCAGAGGTAAGGGCCCTTTGGCTTCCTCTCCTTTTCCTTCCTCTCCCTCCTTACGCCTTCCCCTGCTCCCCCCAGCCTGTGGCTTGCCAGTGGAGGCTGGTGGCTGTAGCCCCGTGCTGGGATGTGAGGGGGTGAGGAGGACCTCCGGGCCTACCACCAAGCACAGCCTGCCCACTCATTCTTGGGCATGGAGGGAAACCCTTGCTGGGGAGAAGGCTTCCCTTTGAGAAACGGAAAACATTTGGCTCCCGATGGTTGTTTGCGACATGTAAAAGGCCGCCTTTGCTGCCCCGGCGCCTGCCGGCCGTATGGTGAGGGAAGAGCTAGGCTGCTCCCAGAGTAAGTGCCCGTGAGGGCAGCTTGGTATGGGAGAGGACCCCGGCAAGCGGGATCTTCCTCCAGCTCCCTCCTCCACCTCAGGAGCTCAGTGGTTTTTGCAAGCCCACGCTGGAGGAATCAGGAGCAATTTTTGGAAGGCAGTGTGTAGGAGGAACGTGTAGCCATGGGGCCTTCGGTCTGAAGCTCAGGGACCAGTGCTTTCTCTAGCCCTCTCCTACTGGTTTCCTGCCAGAGCTAAGACCACAAAGAAACCATAAATCGCTGAAAGAATGAAATGCATGCTGTCAGAGAATATTAGACTGGTTTCCGTCCCCTTTCTCTGCTGAGCACAAATGCCCAGCACATCTGGCAAATCACTGAGCGCAAAGGGGTCCCCGGCACAAGAATAGCTGTGAGAAATGATGCCTCTCCCCAGAGCAGTGGCAGCGGTGCAGATGCCTACCGCGGCCTCCCAGTGTCCATGGGTCCCTGCAATGGGAAGGAAGATCCCCGTTGAGGCCTGTAGTCACAGAAGGGAATAGCATGCCACGGTCAGACCACCCTTTCTCTGGCTTTTAAGCTGTCGCAACACTGGCACTGCCTCCCCACTTCGTGCTCAGGTCTTACTGTCTAATAACATTTGTTTCAGGTGAGGTCTGACCGGGAGAAGTTTACAATCATGCTGGATGTAAAACACTTCTCTCCTGAAGACCTGAGTGTGAAGATCATCGATGACTTTGTGGAAATCCATGGCAAGCACAGTGAAAGACAGGTAAGTGGAAGCAATGGTGAAGCAACTGGGGAGTTGAGCTCCGTTCTCTTTCTTTCCTATGGTCCTCAGCTGAAGGAAAAAAAAAAGGAGTTATTTATCGATTGTCATTACTGGCATGGCCCATTCCCATAGAGCCCCAACCTGATATCTGACAATAATGAGCTAATCCACTCCTCTTTTGTTTATTTTCAATCATCATTTTCCATAACCATCAGATGACGATGTCCATTGTTTGCTAATAACACTGGACCAGACAAAGAACATTATCTGGTGCTGCCGAAGCATGGCTGAGTTTTCATAAGCCAGAATCGTTAGTGAAAACAGAGTTTTCACATGCTGATCTGGGAGAGAAAAGCAAGAGCAAGAGCAAACAAAACAAAAGAAAAACAACCGAGTGCCCTCAGGCTTGGAAACTTTTAACACATATGTCATGGAAATATCTGTGGGGGTCGAAAAGTGAATTATACCAGCAGGAGTTTAATTCTTCTCATACACTTTTTTGGCCAGACAAAGCTCTAGCCTGGAAACAGTGTGTATTTTTTAATATGGTTATATTTTCCAGAGGAAGAGAGCAGCCATTTTCACGGCTGACTTAAAGAAAAAATTACATTTCTTATTCTTTTGGACAAAAAAAAAGGGGGACCAGGATTGTATACTTTGGCTGACACAGCATTTCTGCCTAGTAAGGAAATACATGGGCGCACACGCATGCATTGCTTTTACCTTTGCAGAACCCCAGACTTTCTCTGCAAGCATCCTTTGAAATTGGAGGCCGCGGCAGGGCCCCCATCCAAATCAGATCCCAACCTATAGTATGACCAAAATCACACCCTGCTGCTCTGCTCAGCTCTTGCAGCCTCAGGGGCATCATGGGGGGACACCTGCCCCTACAAACCCATTAAATAGAAGAAAGAGCAGAGATGCGCCCAGTGATACCAGCAGTACAGCATCACAATAAGACAGGGCGAATGTGGAGCCCCTCCGACGGAGCCGCGGGGTCGGGTGGAGGGAGGCACAGCACAGTGCCGGGGGGTTTCTGACCGGCCTTCTGTCCTTTCCCCACTGCCTCTCAGGACGACCACGGCTACATCTCCCGTGAATTTCACCGCCGGTACCGCCTGCCTGCCAACGTGGACCAGGCTGCCATCACCTGCTCCCTGTCCAACGACGGCATGCTGACCTTCTCGGGCCCCAAGGTCCCCTCCAACATGGACGCCGGCCACAGCGAGAGGCCCATCCCTGTGTCCCGGGAGGAGAAGCCCACCTCCGCGCCTTCCTCCTAAGCCCGCCTGCCGCCACGGTACGCAGGCCGCCACCATCTGCAGGTCTCATTCCCAGAGCCATTGCTTAGATATCAGTGAATATCTAGAGGGGTTTATTGTGTTGGTTCCCCCCCCTCCCTCCCTTTGTTTCTTTTTTTCTTTTTTCCTCCCTTTCCCTCGGATGGGACAGGGGGCTGGGTGAGCGGCTGGGGGACTTTGAAGCTTAAGCCTGCGAGCTGTGCTGTGGGGATGGCGTGGATGGCACGTGCTGCCACGCTGTTGTTCTTGCTGAAAGGGTCTTCGTCCGGTGCTGTAGTCCATAACCACCATCAGGTAGGAGGGAGTGCACAAGTAACGCTGGCTCCTGGTGCAACCGAGTCTTGAGGCGAGGCTTGGAGCAGGGGAAGAGCCCTGCAGACTTGCTCTACCCCACACAGAGTTTAAAAGAAAAAACAACAAAGAGCAACAGGGCCAAGCCCCACACCTGAGATCCGGCGTACATGCGATGAGCGTGCCACGAGTTCCTTGCAACCGCAGGAGAAATAATAACGTCTTACCTTCAGGGGTTGCAACGAATATTTTTTTTTTTTTTCAGCAAAGCGTTGAAGTGTATCTGTTCACACCACTACCGTGTCGTTTCTCTTAGGGACAACCGACACAAGGACAAGCACGTCTTTCCACTGTCTTAGTAGGCCCTCGGGGGAGAGAGGGGGGCTCGCCGCTGTGCAGAGGCTTCACATCCCCAGCCAGCTCTCCCCAGCCTGCGCGTAACACACCGTCTCCCTTGCTCCCATTGTACTTCTAGGGTAGCTCCACCTCTTCCACTGGTATCTGGCACTCCACCTGAGAACGCGGTCAGTGGCGGTCAATAAAGAGATATAGGAAACATGCAATTGGCTTTGGGTGTTTCGTTTGTTCCTTTCTAAGGCTTCTGAAGTTGAAAGGTTAGCGCAGTGCCTTAACACCGCTTGGAGGCAGCGCTTTCCACTGCTGGAAGTACATTTTGTGGTGATGACTTGCCCTTTCTTTCGTGTCCCTGTTATCCTTCATGCAAGCAAAACAAAAGGATCAAAAAAAGAACAAAATTCAACAGCCCAACAGCCACGCCATTTCTTAAGTTCATTGTGTCAGTGAAGACGGCAATGCAGACCCCATTTGTGTGATACCATGAGAAGGATTTTGCCTGAAATGAATGGTTAAAGCTGTTTGATGGCAGAGCAGGTAGGGTGTAGGTACTACCTCTCCCTGCGATTGCCACACACAAAATCCATGGCTCCCAAACTCGCACAGATGTGAGCGCTAAAGACCAAAGGTTTAGCGCTCGTGCTTGACTCAAATAGCTTTCCACACAGATGGAAATCCAGGGTGTTTAGGGAAAGCATAGCATCACTGATAACCCCACATCCCCATAACTAACCTCATAGGTAAAATCCGTTTGGACAGGGAGTGCTTTTCCTCTTGGTAAAGATCTTCACATCCAAGACCTACAACGTGAAGCGTAGCTTCTGAGGTCCTAAGGTCACTCCTTCCGCAGGAGCAGACACAAGTTTGTCTCAATTGACGTGTGTCTGGGCGCTCTCGAATCACACCTACAAAACAAGGAAGGGCGACAACAAAACAAGTGCATTATTCCCAGGAAAGAGCACAGGTCCGTGCCCTCACTGGGAGGTGAGGACAGCGGGAGAAAGAGAGTTTGCTCTGCCAAAGAGATGAGCCCACCAACCTCCTCCCCCTTGCTGCTGATTAGCTGTGAAAAAAGAGGGAAAATCCATGCATGTTTTTTTCTCATGGAATGGTTTAAATATTAGTATAAGCCATAAACAAAGAAGCTCTGGCCCCATTTAAAATTAAAAAGCACTTTCTTCTGCCACATCTAGGCCAAAACTCAGGGAGGTATGGGAGTCAGAAGCAAGGACATCACCCCTTATCTGGGGAAAGCGAGTGTGCCCCGGGGCTCAGCCCAGTCCCCTGCCTGAACCCTCCGAGGCCAGGGGTGCTGGGAGCGTTACTGAGACCCACATCACAGCAGCGGTGGCAGAGCCCGCCGGGAACAGGGCGGCTGGGGGAGAGCCAGGGAGAGGGGCGCAGCTGCAGGACGGGGGGAGTGCCACAGAAGCAGGGGCGAGGGAGAGGGAAGGGAGGGAGATTACTCTCTGGTAATTAGAAAGCAAGGAATCCCCTCGGCGTCTGACACTATTTTAAACTTTTTTTTTTTAACTGAGATTTTTTTTTTAACTGAGATTTTTTTTAACTGGGATTGGGCCATCCCAAAGCTTTCTGCCAAAAAACTGTGCAGCCTGTTACATTTTCATCTCCAGGGAAAAGGCGTGAAGGAGCACGTTTGGGGAAAAGGCAATTTCGTACCAGGAGGGAGCCCCTTACCGCCTGCAGGGTAAGGGCATTTTAACAGCAGCTGCCTTTCGCCGCTTTGCCTGGTGCAAACGGCCCCCGGTCTCTGCTCCTTTCCGCTCGGGGGCATCTCCCCGCTGGAGCCTCGACGCCTCCCCGCCATGTGCTCACATTTCTGTCCTTCCTGACACAAACTCAGCAAAGCCAGGAGGAAAAAAAACCATGCCCCAAACCCAGCCCCAGATGTTTAACCCCCGTTCAAACCTCTCAGAGATGTAAAAATAGAGAAACATGTTTTGAGCATCATCTGTGTGCAGACATTGCCTGCAGGTGTTTGAGCAGCATGTGTGCCCATCTGTCCCATGAAGTGACATTTGAAGCATTTTGGGGCCCCTTTTTCTGTCTGGATGGCAGAAAGTGAAAGTCTTGACGGTAGGAAATCAGGGCAGGTTTGGGGCAAGCTGGCAGCTGTGCGGAGGGGGTAGTGGCTCTTGCAGTGATTCTGGTGCTGCAGTGCAGTGGGTACCAAATGTCCCATGCAGCCCCCTCGCTTTTGGGGCAAATCCTGGGGACATCAGACCTTGACTATCTCGCTGCTCTCAGAAGGGCTGATTTTAAAGCCCTTTGCAATCCATCAGCTATATAAAAACATGAGCAGCTGTTAAAAGCACCTGTGTGAGGACAAGCTGGGCCGCTGGTGGTGTTTTTAATAGGAGGGGGGACATGTTGCCAAAGGCTGCCCTGCCTGTCCCTAAGCCCAGAGCTCCCCCACCTCCAAGGGGTTTGTCTGCCCGCAGAAGAGCTTGAGCAGGGGTAATAACCCCTCCCTGCTCACCAGTGTCTACGTGTGACTCAAAATATTTCACATTTTTTACCCCGAAGTTTTGCTAGTCACATCGCTCTGGGATACTCCTCCTCCTCCTCTTCTGTGCACTTGGGTCTGCAAAAATAATTGTTCCCCTTTGCTGACATTAATTTTCATTTAAAGAAAGTCTTGCCATTCATAGCCTGTGATCACGGTTTCAAGAGAGAGCTTCGCCACAGCTTTCTACACAAATTCACCTGTTAATAAGGTGTTGCTAATACTCTTCAAGGGTTAACAAAATTTCTTGGAAGCTTTTCGGTCAGAAACTCAGTCAATGATTTTATCGTGGAGAGAAAGGCACCAGAGGACCCTGCCCACAGGGCAGTGATGGCACCTTCCAGTACCTGGGCAGTTCGGTGTAGGGTGGCCTGTAACCAGGGGTTTCTGCTCAGGGTGACTATTCATCCTTATTGCACTGTGTTTCTGTTCGCTGCTGTCGGTTTCCACTCAGAGTGCTAACCTCGCTTGCCCACAGCAAAGCACAAATGACTTTAGCTTCCCCTCCAGAGAAATTGTTAAAGCATCCTCAGGGGGATGCACCAGACAGTGGTCCAGGGGCATGCATCATCCTCCAAGCAATTCCCTCTCCTCCCACGGGCGCCAGTGACCCAGTGGTGGTGGCAGCGACGTGGGGGACAGCAGCAGCTCCTGGGGCTGTACCTGCCCCCTCCCCTCCTTGGTGTTGCACTGCTTGGGCAGGGTATGTCACCTCTGCCAGGATCCCATTTTCTCCAAGAAAAAGCTGGGAGAAAGGGCTGGCAGGATCCAACCTGCAGACCTCCAGCCAGGAAGCTGACCCTGAGCATCTCGCATCAGGGCTGTCAAGGGGACAGCCACCCCTCTTGGCAGGGGGATAAGGAGGACCCTCCTCATCCTTTGCAGGAGGAGACACACGGAGTTCCCACAGGAAGGGCTCGGGCAAGCAGCAGATACCGCACTCCCCCCTCTCACCCCCGATTTACCTAATTGCTTTGGACTTTTGTCCCCTGGCTTCTGGCAGAAGGACAGCCCGGGAGAGAGGGAGGGGTTTCCCGGCAAAGCCGTGTCCCCACAGGGTGGCAGCCTTTCCTGTGCTCTGGCACACCGAAGGGCTCCCTTTGTGTGTCCCCTCCTCCCCGCGGCTCTGTGTTTCAGCATCTCCCCAGGGAGACGGGGACGCAGGGCACAAGGCTGGCAGGCACATGGACCCAACCAGGGTTGCACAACTCCGGCATTTCTTGGTTTCTGATTGATTTGCAAGTTAGCCAGCGTTACATAAAGATCAGGAGTAATTTGAAAGTTCACCAGGATTTCTCCCCCTTTTTTTTTCTCCCCCCCCCCCCACCGCAAATTCTGTTACATGCAGCCATTATAACCCTTCATCTGCTTGACGTCGTCATCATGATTTGGGCTCTGCCACACAAGTCTCTGTCATCTGAGGTTAAAAAAAGCAGTGACTGCCTGCATTGGCAACAAAAATGGCTCCAAACACACCCCCGAACCCCCAGTATTTTCTCAAAGGTGCGTAAGACCAACACGGTTTATTGCTGCTGTGTTGGGCATGTAAATTTGGGAGACGCAGCCAGAGGAGACTGCGATAATGTGGTCTCTGCCCTCCGGAACCTGGACTTTGTCTCTTTGGTGTGACCCATGGTCAGGATTGGCTTGAAAAACTGCCAGCTCACGTGAGAAGAACATGTAATTACTCAGTCCCTTGTTTCCCAGCCCCTGATCCGGCCGCAGGGCTTTTCCCAGGGGAAGTGCAGTCGGGTCCATACACAGCCCACGCCACAGGGCTGGAGCCAGGTTATGTGGCTGGCGCTTAGCTTGCAATTAACTGGCACTTCAATGGAAAAATGTGAGGTTGGGACACGGTGGAGATGTTTATGGCGTATCTTGGAGTGCAGCACAAGTTGGGTAAAAATGAAATTTTAGTCAGAGAGGCTGAGGCAAGATGATGGAGTGATGTAACTCAACCAAAACTCAGGACGCTTGTCCCCACCTCAAAGGCCATCTTCCAGCTGTCTCTCAGAGACCTACCACAAACCATGAGGGCCCTGAACTCTTCAGAAAATCATCCTTCTGCTCGGAAAGGATGGGCTCAACCCAGCC